ATATATATGTGTGTGTGTGGTTCACACATATATTACACACAACCATGAGGTGCGTAGAATGATGAAAGAGATTGGCAGTATTTGCGCATATCGATCACTGTTAGCATCTGCGTGTATAGCATGGAATGTCACAATTTGTAGCGTATAGATACAAGAATGATTATGTATAGATACAAGTATAGTTGCGTATAGATACAAGAATAGATAGCGTGTGTATTGTGTTTGTAAGGTTTACCAATTTTCCGCCATTCATTCATTATTCCTGGTTAAGCGACATACGCACACCGAAAAGAATCGAATTATCAATCTTTATATATTTCCTAGTGGTAAAGGCTGCATCAAGTTTGGGGCTGTGTGGGGTTTTTTGGTACTGATGAGTCTCTGAACCATGACACTAACTAGCACCATTCACTGCTCTACGACGAGGGTGATGTTTATTTGTGTCGGGATGGACATATGCAATGACTAGTATCCGACGTACATGTATTTACATCTTTATGTATATGTCTGTATGATGGTATATCTATGTATATATACGTATATAAAAATTTATGTCTATCACCCGCTTACATTGAAGTCGGGCGACATGCAGGCGGCTGTTCGTAGATGCATCCCTAGGCCACAGTGTGACCCAGTACTATTAAAGCGCATGAGCTCGTTGCCCACCTTGTTAAGACGTTCGGCGTATCTGAGATGAGAATTCAATTCGCGACTTCTCAATAGAAGTGGTAAACCAGTAGTACGTCCACAGTCGCAATGAGATGATACCGCTACTAACATACTTGGGACCATAACCACGTATTATACTCGTTGTGCAATCCCGGAAGAGCTGCTATTTGTATGTGATATGAGCGACCCCTCACGATGGTATACTTTGCATTTACAAATGAGTGTAAGTATCCACACGCGTGTGCATGCATATGAATGATTAAACTCGCGTGCAGAAGGTGGTGCTCAAGTGTGCACATGAAATTCTGCACGCATTCGGCGACGGCGCCAATGAATATGCGCGCATGAAGAGGTGTATACGATTGTCAGTGGCGGTGGTAAATGAATGTATGGTGCATCCGACAAGAACGTAGAGTGTGTGGTGTACATGACAGAGGTTAAAAGAGTGAGCGCGCATTTGCATATGTGCGCCTGGGTGCGTCTGTGGATGTACACAGTCTGTTTACTAGTTCGATTAGCAGCACATGAATTCAGGCAGCTTTG